ATATATATATATATATATATACATACATATATACATACATACATACATACACACACACACACAGACACACACACACACACACATATCCTTTGTAGCAGGGAACTTACCAATGACATTATGTTTTGAACTGAAGGGATCTACAATTGTTTGATCTCTGTAACTTCTAAATCCCTGGATAATTACCTGAAAGAAGCAGAATTACTTTTTTAAAGTAAGGAACAGATTAAATCATGTATCAATCAACTTGCAGATTTTGAACTAAAATGTTGTTCATTCAGTACATATTCATGCTTGTTGTACCTTTTGTTTTACCACACACAGATCAATATTCCATATTGCAACATACAATCTAGGTAATGTTTGTTGAAGATCACCTAAATTTTAGCTAATAATGCAGCAATTTTAATATAGAAAAAAAAAGTGCTATGCCCTTTACCTTGTCTGCACCACATATATGAAACATCTTTTTAAAAACAATCAATGATTATAATTTTTATTCGTGGGATTTTAGATGGCCCTATCATTTTTCTACATTCTTTTATCTTGTTCCTAGCCACTTATTTATCTCTTCTAACAAACATTTTACCCCAAAACAGATTCATTCCAGAGTATTGCACAATTGTCCTAAAACACCTCACTAGTTCTTCTATTATCACCACAAACTGGGGCATAACTTGCAATATTAGTCCCTAATTGACACAACTTAGATGATACAAGGCATATTTTCTGACTTTCACTTTAGTCTTACTTTCTGACCAATATTTTAATCCTTTCATAATTAAAACTATAATTAAAACTAAAATCAAAGAATTGAGGCCCTTGAACTAGAGTGCTGGAAAAGACTCCTGCGATTCTCTTGGACGGCAAGGCGATCAAACCAGTCAGTCCTAGAGGAGATCAACCCTGACAGTTCTTTAGAAGGCCAGATCCTGAAGATGAAATTCAAATACTTGGCCACCGAATTAGAAGGAAGGACTCACTGGAGAAGAGCCTAATGCTAGGAAAGACTGAGGGCAAAAGAAGAATGGGACGACAGAAAATGAGGTGGCTGGATGGAGTCACTGAACAGTGGGCGTGAGCTTAAATGGGCTCCCGGTAGAGGACAGGAAGGCCTGGAGGAATGTTGTCCATGGGATCGCGATGGGTCAGACACAATTTTGCAACTAGCAATAACAACAATTAAAACTATAGCTTCATCTCCCAGCATGGACTCTATAATTTGTATTCTACAAGATCAGCCTATCTTCTTCAAACATATTACATCTTTCCAATCTTCTCAGACACACGTTTCCTTTAATTCAAATTCATTTATTTTATACTTTGCACCAAGTACTCTTCTTACATTCCAAGTTGCAATCTTCAATATGCCAGATGGGCCTGCAGGTACTGACCGACACTGTCTGTCATGGCTTTGATTAATCAAGACTTGCACATAGCAGTTTTACTAATATGAAAAGGTTTAATTCAGTTACCAGCCTTGTTATAATTGTGTCACAGCCAACATTGTCTGCTAACCTAAGAACAATACACTTGCCACTTGCGACGCTTTCTAGCTAGTATGCCACAAATGTCATTCCAGCTCAGTCTTACTCTAATCTTATTTACACTATGCCAACTACAATCCTTAATCAACAGACCGATTTAGAGCAGTGTTTTTCAACCTTAACAAGTTTTAAGATGTGAGGATGTCCATTCCCAGAATTCCCCAACCAGCCATGACTACGAATTCTGGGAGTTGTCAAGATTGAGAAACACCGATCTAGCGACTACACGGTTGTCTGCACCCAACCATTTGGATGTACACGCAGTGTACTGAAAGTTCCTCAGGATGCAGCAACACACCTCAAACCAGCCAAGTACGATGCACTGAGGCTTGTTGGGGTGGGGGGCAAAGAACCACCCGTCGGAATTCTGTCTCACGAACAGTCAAATTTCTCCTGCAATCTTTGCAACTCTCCATTACCATTTCTCCAGAACCGGCCCACAAACTTATTTTCGCTTATTTCTTCCTGACCCATTCATTTTACGTCAGCGAACAACGGCCGCCTCCCCCTTCTTGTCCCCCCATCATCGTGCCAAGGAAGACAGCAGCCCGTCAGGGTCAGCCCTATGCACCCACCCCCCAAGGGCCCGAAGATGGGTCACCTCTCTTCTGATCTGCCACTGAAATACAAGACTCTCCGGGGCAAAAACTAGGCATCGATCGCGGCCTGCATATCCTTTCTGCTCCTGCTGGAGCCCAGAGCCATCAAGCACCGCTCCTTTCCCTCACGCCTCAACCCAACTCCGGCACCCTCTCTCCAAGTACCCTTCTCATTCAGGTCTGTCTGGCTCTTCCTTTCCATTTCCCAAAGAAAATAAACCGCTACGCCATAAATTCTACGCCCGGTGCGGAGTACCTGCTTAATATACATCGCGGCAACGGCGGAGGCCTCCCTTTCTCACCGAGAAGCGCCCACCGCTCAAGTCGCGCACAAAATGGCGGCACGTCTTCCCCCGCCCCCTTTGGAACGAACCATTTCATCAAAGAAAAGGGGGGGTTCCAATAAAACCTAGAAAGCGCCTTAGAAATGGGGGTGGGTGGGAAATGCCACTTTTTCACACTGTATGGCAGTATCACTCATGCCAACATTTCCGGCCTAACAGTCAGAATACGCGGTAGACTGTGTTAAAATAAGCGTCTTACTCGCCCTATCGGAATTTGGTTCAACCCATAGCAACGATTTGAGCGCCAAGACAAGTCCGGCCAATGGGAGAGAGAGGTTGGAGAGTGCTGGGCATAAATAAAGCCCAAAGTGCCCCATCCGTGCGGAAAAGGGAGGTGTAACCGGCCTTGGAAGAATTCGAAATAAAAGATGCGAGGACTAAGAACAATCTATTCAGGGGGAAAAAACCTGAATAGCATTTCGTGGCGTATCATGTTTGCTTTAATCAAAGAGCTGATGTTATGAATACTTATTGCTAGCTAGTCTTGTGTGTTTCGGATTTTTACTGGAAAAGGAAAAACAGTTATTTCCCTGTAGTTTTGAAAATATATCAGTCCAGACATTTCAATTGCATTTTATGGGATTCTTCATTGTTTTAAAATGTTTTTGTAATGTCTTTCCATATTACATAACAACCTTCAAAGCAATTTATAACAATTTATAATTTTGGGCTGTTTACAATATTAAAAGATAAATTTGTACAAAACATATACACAATAGGAGCTAAATAACAAAGATAAATACATGAACCTAACTAAAAGATGGGAGAGGGAGGAGGATGAGGATGGAAGGTAGGATCTGTTATTAGGCTCAACCACCCTCTATTTTAAAAAATAATGCAATATCAAAAAGCATTTTAAGTCTCCTTTGAAAGTAGGGAAGGAGCAATGTGCAAATCTTTCACAAGCATAACAAAGAAAATCTCATCTCTTGTCAATTTACAGGTTCATAGAGGTATTAAAAATCCATTAAACTAAAAGTTCTTTTGGTTTTTAATAGTCTTCTATATAATAGCCAATTACCTCTGAAAGCATATTACTAATCAGTATGGAATATGAAATTTACTATGATTGTCTCGCATTCAATACAGGATCCCTAATAGAACTGATCACAATGCGTGAAGCTTATATTTAGATGGGAACATGGGGGGGGGGAGATAATTCCATATAATAATTCTGAAATAATGAGACCTGTGATCAAGAATTGATACAGATCCTAAAAATTAACCTGAAGTAGGCTATTCTAATAACTGAAATTGGCATTTGATACTATAATATTTTCCAAAAATCCAGTTGCATCTGTTTTTGAAGCATAGCATAAACTGATAGCTGCATCATATTGAACACATAAGGTGCTTTTATGTGGCGCAGATGCGAAGCTATAAATCAGGAGACTTTGATTTCTGCTCCTTTTTTAGGCATGAAAGTCAACTGGGTAATTTTGGATCAGTCACCCTTTCTTGGGTTAGCCACCCTAACTGGTAGTTGAAAATAGGGAGAATTAGATACGTTTTGATTTTGCCAAAAATGAAATCAGATAAAAAATCAAATAAATAAATGTAGCCCATCAGGATATTGATCAATAATTTTACTTTTTGTTAAAAGTGACAAAATTGGCCTATCAATCAAAACCTGTATATATACAAGTAGAACAGAATCCTCAGATTCCACTTTAATATTTCCAATACATGCTTTCCTCCTACTCTGATACTAAGAGAAGATCATGTCAACATAGGTATGACATTTATTTCACAATTTATTTTTCATCTCATTCAGCCCAGGGTGTAGGCTGCTGTCTTCTGCTAAATACTTTACAAAACACTTTACATTTTACTTGACTTACAACCAGTGGTGGGTTCCTACCGGTTCAGACCGGTTCGGCTGAACTGGTAGTGGTTTGGCGGCCTGGATTGCTGGAACTGGCAGTGACCCAGGCCTGCCACGCCCCTGAACCGGTTCTCCTATGGCGCTGCCATCTTGATTTTCGGTTCTGCACATGCGCACAATTGCACAAATGTAATTTTTTCCATTTTTTAATGTTTTGTGCATGCACAGACCTATTTATGTGCAAATGTGCACAGGCGTGCAAAATTTGCACATGCACCGAACCGGCAGTAATGCCGGCAGCAACCCTGCTTACAACCATTTTTATAGCTACAATTTGAATTTACAATAGCACTGAAAAAAGTGAATTATGACCTGTCCATACATTTATAATTGTCCCAGCATCCCCACAAGTCACATGATTAAAATTCTGGTGTGACAACTAGTATGTATTTACAATGGCTGCAGTCTCCCAAGATCATGTAATAACTATTTGTGTCCTTCCTAGTTGGCTTCCAACAAGCAAAAGTCAATGGGAGAAGCTGAATTTGCTTAAAGACAGCATTATTAACAACTGCAGAAATTTTAACAATCATGACATAAAATCTGGCAGGATATTCTTTGGTAGAAACTGGAACATCACCAACTTCAGGAAAAGCTGCTACCATCAATATTTGCTGAAGCCATGTTTTTAATTTCCAGATGAGCCAATAGATTGTTTTCTATTTCCTTTTTCCTAAAGGATTGACAGCCTAACATCAACAGATGGCAGCAAAGAATTAGTCTTCCTTAGTTGCTGTAACAGTAGCCTGGATATGTGCAAGACAGACAAAATGACTGCACAAGTTGTTCTTTTAGTCTTGATAGGTGTATGAGTTGTGTTCAATTCTGAGGTATATATCCACTTTTATTTAAATGTTATTGGTGTTTCAGCCATTAGATGGCAGCAAAATTTAAACTTTATGTTTCTTGGCTGCCATTTTGGGTGTTTAGATTTATACTGCTGATATGGAGCTGCTGAATTAGGTCAGCTGGAGTTTGAGAAATTTGTTTTCCTATTCTCTCTGCCACAATACATTTTAGTATGGAATGAATTTTTTAAAATAATGAGGAGAGGAACTTAGGAAACAGAACTTTCCACTGGAAGGGTAATGCATCACAACACAAGACTGGAATTGTTTCAATTATATGGATTAAACTGAATTTTGGGGAGGTCAACTTCAGGCTTTGTAGACTAACTTAAGCAATCTACCCATCGATCAAAGCTGTTTAAATGGGAGGAGGAGGAGCACCCTGCAACCAAAACAGGAGTGCAGAATAAACACCAATTTCAGTAACCAAGTAAATTGTAGCTCAACAGATCATTACCCCCGACTAGTTAGCTTCAACCATCCTCCTCTGTGTATTGTATATTATACAGATGAAAGTCTGCTTCTATTTTCCCAGGAAGATATTACTTTCACACCAAAATACCGTGGACTGCCTATGAAACAGAAGCTCAATTGAAAGAATACATCCTTAACAGTTAAGAGAAACATCTTCACATTGTAGTCAGGATAAGTCATCAGGTTTTCCCTTGCTCAGTACTTTTCATTTTTTTCAGATTAAACTTCCGATTCATGGTTGATATCATTCATAAACTAACTCCATACATTTGTTCAGGGTTTCTGTAGCCTCTTAGAAGCATTGGAGTTTGAAGAATTGAGCAGTAGATTGTAGTGTATTGTTATATATTTTTAACCCAAATGTCCAGAATATTACAGAAACAAAGCTACTTTTATTTAGTGAATTTTGTCAGTCTTCCTGTCATGACTACATAATGCCCTCTCTTGTTGATATTATTTAAATATTCATAAGAGTATGAATTATAAAAGCTAGCTAGCTGGCTATACTGTTTCAATACACTTCCAAGATGTCATATTGTGTTATAAGAGTCTTTTGTGTGTATATATATTTAAAATGCTTGCTCACTGGAATCATATCTTCCAAGAAATTGTTTCAATTTCCCTATCAACAGCAAACAGTCGACATGATATTGAACTGAAAGGAAGTGATATACATGCCATAAGTAGCTATAAGCTGGTTTGTGAAACATTCTTGCAAATGATTGAAACAACTCAATTTATCTCACAGGTACTTTCTCTATAGTAGTAGCCACATGTTCAATTTTTCAGGATATTCAGCTAAATACCTTTAACAACTTTATGTACAAATAAGTGTGTGAAACAGTGATGCATGTGAATGCAGATGAGTGATATGTGGATGGGAATAGGTGCAGAGAGGAAGTAGTACAAGAACAGCGGCTGTGAATCTTCACAGAACTCCATCTGTCTTCTTCTGTTTAGCAGATGGAAAACTAAGACCAACTGTAGGTACTATAGCAAAAATAGCATGCTGACTGCTAATGAAGTCACAAAATAATCTGAAGGAAAAAGGGGAATAACTGTAACTGTAAGGTCTATAAAATACTGTAATATTAAAGACAACATGTAAAAACAGTGGGAAGAAAATTTACAAGAGAAAATAGAATTTTCACCTTGACAGCATCTCATCATAGAAATGTAATTATTAGACAAATCAATTTGTATATTACAATATTTGCAACTAAGAACATAATTGCCTGCTTCCTGTCTTTTCTACAGTGAACAGTGGATATGGACCAATTATTTCTTTTTTGTGTAAGCCTTTTTCATCACAAACTACCCTTAACATAGTTTATACTGAGATTACTGCCAATGAAGTTATTAGGTGTTTTATCTCATTAAAAAATCTCTGTGGGTAATAATTCTTAAAGCATATCTAGGTAATATCTTGGTAAAATTGGTAAAACTAATTTAATCAATTTAAACACTAAATCTGCATATGCATCACCTTTTGTTAAAAGAATTGCTATTAGCAGGCATTCTAAAATTCTGTAAGTTCTTTGACTATTAACAACTATATGGCAAACAGGAAGTAATCTTGTCATTTTTGTGAATCAGGTTAGGTTTAGGTTTAAGTTTAGGTTTAATTTATTTGTATGCCGCCCTTTTCCCAGAAGGGACTCAGGGCGGCTCACAACT